TCCCTTCTGACCTTAAAGTCTATGAGCCTATGAGTCTATGAGACGGCTTAATGGTACAAAGAAAAGATGAACCAGCAGCTCCTCCCTCATTGCCGTGGGGCGGCCGGGCCAGACCTGAGCAGGGCTGTGACCCGCTCACTAGGGGCCAGGTTCTAGTTCCCAGAGTGAGGAGCCAGGCCCAGCCAGCCCCGTGAAATACGGAGTTTGTGCGTTAAATCGGGACAGTCCTGTGAACCATGGGATTGATGTAAGGTCTGCGAATATCAACTGCCCTCATCCAGCTCCCGCTCCGAAACTAGCCCAATTCCACTCCCCATGTAACAGCACCCACCCATCCAGCACCCACTCCCTAATCAGCCCCAACATCAGCCACCATCCAACAGCACCAGGATGACCAGATGTCCCGACTTTATAGGGACAGTCCTGATTTTTGGGTCTTTTTCTTATATAGGCTCCTATTACCCCCCACCCCGTCCCGATTTTTCACATTTGCTGTCTGGTCACCCTCAGCAGCACCCACCCCATCCAGCCCCCCTCCGTAACCAGCCCCAACACCAGTCCCCCTCCAACAGCACCCACCCATCCAGCACCCCAGAAATGATCACCCCAAAACTGGCCAGGATTTCTTCCTGCAATGACCAAAAATGGTGGCAAGACTGAAAACAACTGTGGCCTGGGGGCATGAGAAGAAACCACAGTTTACTTTGAGGTCCCAGGATGATAAAATTGGAAACTTCTAGGGAGAGGGGTCTGCACTTGACTTTCTGAGCAGACCAAACCCATTGGGAGCTCCTCATCTCTGGGGCGAGCTAGACGTTCTTCTTGCCAATGAAAAGCAAAGCAGTCCTTTCCTACATAGGTGTCTGGGTGGATTTATCCAGAGCGGCTCTCCCCTGGGTCCCTTTGCTCTTGGGGAGTGAAAGGCAGCAGCAGCCAATAAGCAGGGAGCTGATTTGCATGAAGGGGCCGTTCTCCAGCGCTGGGGGATTAAGAGAGAATTGGAGGGTCCCAGCCACAGACCCGTTTGCCTCAGGGAGCCGAGCGCGTCTGGATTCCCCACCATGGCCTGGGCCCCTCTGCTCCTCGCGCTGTTCACTTACTGCTCAGGTATTATAAGCGGGAGAGTTTTTCTCCATCTCTTTATTCAGGGGATTTTCTCTTCCTCAGGTTCCTGCACGGCCTGTGGTGTGTTAGCTCTTCAGATATTGATTTTATCCCCATGTTTTCTCTTCCTGTCTCAGGTTCTCTCGCCCAGTACGTGCTGACTCAGCCACCTTCAGTGTCTGTGTCTCCAGAGCAAAAGGCTCAACTCACCTGCTCAGGAAACAACATTGGGGGCAAGAATGTGCAGTGGTACCAACAGAAACCTGGCAGTGCCCCACTACTCATTATATATCATGATAGCAGCAGACCCTCCGGAATCCCCGATCGATTCTCTGGTGCCAACTCCGGTAACACGGCCACGTTAACCATCACTGGAGTCCAGGCGCAGGACGAGGCTGATTATTACTGTCAGGTGTACGACAGCAGCGCTGCTCACAGTGACACAGCCAGATGGGGAAGTGAGACACAAACCTCTCAACATCAAAGAGGAACGTTTAATAGCATTCGTCCTGTGACAGCGTGAGGGGCCATTTCAGAGGTGGGGGAGCAGGTATCATATTTAATCTGCCCAGAAATCCTTCTAGGCAGAGGCTGGGTCAACGCTGTGTCTCCCTCATAACCCTTGTGAACAATCTCACCCAATGCACAGAGCTCTAAAGGACAATTCAGAGAGCGATGGGATCTCGTCCCCATTTCTGTGAAAGGGACAAACTGGACTCACACCCAGTGCCTGGCTCCGTGTCAGTTCTCTCATCTCACCTCTTCTCTGATACCCCCGGGAATGAGGACACTCCTCATCTGGTAACAGTCCAAGACTGGACACTGTTCTCCAAACTTCTACTGCCAAAGTCAGACACGTTCTCTTCTCCTCACACCTCTGTCTAGACATCGACACACACACAATTCCCCGCAGTGGGAATGGAGGATGGACCCTGGCACTGGAGAAGATCACTTGAGTGTTAGGCTCCTGGAGCCGGCAGCCAGAGCTCACTTTTCCCCACTCTCCATCCCCACGCGCCTTGGGGGCATCTGTGTCCTGCACCCAGGAGAACCCCCAGACTCCTCCCAGCCTCCTGAGATCCTGCACAACAGCCTGCCTGCGAGCCGAGGCCGAGGCCTGTGACAAGCCCCACGTGGCACCAGCAGGAAGGAGAAGAGCCTCAGTCTCTGAGTAACGGGAACGTTAAAGAGCTGATTTCTGAGGTGAAAGGCACAGGAGCAGGAGGGCTCTGACTGCACAGAGCTGCGCCAAACTCTCAGAGCGCTGAGCGAGGGCGACGGTTAGTTAGCGCAGCCCTGACACCAGGGGGAGGGAGGCAGTGTGAATGCACTGGGCTGGGTTCACTGCTCCCGGCTTAAAACAAGAAGTCCCAGAATGCACCTCTGCTGCTTCCATCTGCTTCCGTCACTGTCCAGTCAGTGCAGGAGCTGGGACTAGAATTGCAGAGTTCCCGGCTCCAAGTCCTGTCCCCGGAGCGCTGCCTCTCACCCCTCCTGCTGGGGCAGGCTCAGTGCTGCTGCTGGTGGGTACCTGCCCGGCTCTGCTCCCTGGTGGGGCCATTCTGGGATGGAGATCGAATGTGATTAACAACAACTTCACAATAACTTATGCAAACCTCTTTATTCAGATCAAACTGAAGGGTGCTGCTTTCCTGCACGACATACACCCCACGGCAACCACTGACACCCCACAGACCTGCCCTGCCTGCCCAGCAATGCAGATAGCCCAGAGCTGAGCCGTATGATCAGCAGAGATTGAAACCAGGCCGAAATGACCACTTGAGACAGATGGGAGTTACTTAATTGTTCACCTCCAGGCACAGCTCAGTATTCAGAACAGCCAAGGGTCATTTGCGGTGGTGTCTGTGCAGGTTTCACATGAAGCATAATCAATCAACCCTATATATTTATTGCCATTACTGTGTATCTGTTTCATAGAAGGCCTCTGGGGTGTTCTAAAGCTTCAGTGACATCAGTCCATTGTGACTTCCCTGCCCTGTCTGGGACAGCGCCGCTCACGCCACCACCAAGCTGTTCTGTCTGTACATCCCTGTCTGCAGGACGCTGACCCCCGCCAGGGGAACTGACTGAAACAGGGCCTGAGATGGCTAAATACCCTCAACACAGGATGCCCCCACCCTTCACACAGGGCACTTTCCCTGTGATCTTGAGGACCAATGAGACAGGATCAGATTAGCATAAAGGTGGAGTTTGTGTGCACCTCCCCCAGGAGGATCAATATAAGGGGCAGATACTGTCAGGCAGTCTCAGCGCATTTGACTCTTTTTCTCCCCAGGGCCTGAAATCTCCTCACCATGCTCTGGGTTCCCCTCCTCCTCCTGCTGGGGACGTGGTGCACAGGTGAGAACAGGGGGAGTGGGGTCAATACACGTTGAAGTTGGTGCTGGAGTCAATGCGCAAACTGTGTCACTAGCGGCCGGGGACGGACACAGTGGGGTTCACCGGCTTCTCCATTATTTTTCCAGGTTCCAGCTCGCAGCCTGTGGTGACTCAGCCGCCCTCAGTGTCAGTGTCCCCAGGAAACACCGTGAAACTCTCCTGCACCATGAGCAGTGGGACCAGCATCAGTGGCTATGGTGTGTCCTGGTACCAGCAGAAACCTGGGAATTCCCCACGATACCTGCTGTACTACTATACGGATTCCAGCAAGCACCAGGGCTCTGGGGTCCCTGCTCGCTTCTCTGGTTCCAAAGACACGTCCAGTAACGCCGGCTATCTGACCATCTCCGGGGCACTGGCAGAGGATGAGGCTGATTATTACTGTGCTGTGTGGAGTGGGAGTAGCAGTGCTCCTCCTCACTGTGACACAGATGGTGAACTGAGACAAAAACCACCTCTGTCTTCCCACCCCCAGCCTATGATCTGCAGGGGCCTGCACAGGCTGCTAGGTTTGGTCTCTTCCTACAGCATATCACACAAATACGTGTTCTTTGTGTAACCTTTTGGTGGGCTAGAGTTCACTTCATGTCCCGTCTCCAGTGCCTTAAAAAAACCCAACTCCCATAGAAAGTAGCTGGAGACCCAGAGTTCAGTCTCAAAGGATTTTCAGCAAGGATTGCACAAGGTCAACCTCCTCACAGTCAAGTCCCAAAAGGAACTAAAGAAATGCATTTAATTAAATAACTTTATAAAATCTTATGATAAAGAAACAAATATTAATCTAATTTTTAGAGCATGAGATGGCTATTTTATAATCCCCAGACATTACCTTCACAGTTATACATAAACATAAGTAAAGAAAACAAATTAAAATCGGAACAATTCAGTCCCCACAGAAATACAGTGAGAAGAAACTGGAAGTTCCCAAAAGCTTAAGTTTTGTTCACCTAAGTCTCAGTTAGAGTCTTTGATCACCAAATCTAGACAGTATGATGAGTCTAAAACAACATCTTCCCTCCACTCGCTTGTAGGAATCTTCAGTTGGAATCCAGGCAGACTCCAGCCAGTCAGCTGACTGATTAACTCACCACTCCGTTACCTGTATCGATTTAAGGAAAATCCAATTGCAAGAAAATACAAAACCGAGAATAGCAAACTAGAAATGACTCTTTCCCCATTACTGCATTGAAAGAAAAGTTGGTGACTCGGACTAGTTCAGACAATTTAACCAGAACAGTTTGGCTAAAATCAAAACAACATTCAAAGCATCCAATTAAAATAGAAGTTATTTTTCCCTCCCAATTTCCCCGGGGCTATAACTAGCATTGCCCAGGCTGTCCTGTTAGAGTTAACAATAAAACTAACCTGCTGCAAAATGCTTCAGCGTTCGGGACAACAGCCTGCTTCTTGCTCCTCGGCTCAGCTTCTCCCAACCCCCACGGGGCACGTGGCCTTCTGCCCTGACTGCTGCCCTCCCGGAGTCTGACTGCAGCAACAGGGAATCTATTGGATCAGACCCTAAACTAGCCCACCCAATTCCAGAAGCTTCTGGATGTGGAGTTGCTTAATCTGCCTAGCAACAGTGACCCAGACACAACTCACTCCTACCTCCCCCAAATGGGTCTCTTAAAGAGATATCTCCCTATTAGGCACATGGGTTACACTTGCAGCTCTGGTTAAGCCTCATGCAACCTCCCCATTTACATCTCCAGAGCTAGGAGGCCTCCAACCGTCAAAGCTGCCCTTCGCCCTGCCCAGCTTGTGCTGTTACACGGAGTCTCCCAAGTTGTTTTCTTAGTCGATGTCTACACTGCGCACCTTACAGAGAGTGGCTGCAGCCGCACCGTTGTAAGGTTCACAGTGTAGTCACTCTTTGGCGCGGGAGAGAGCTCTCCCAGCAACAAAATAAAACCACCCCAGACCAGGGGCGGCAGCTCGTCGCTGGGAGAGTGTCTCCCGCCGATGAAGCGCTGTCCACACCGGTACTTTTAATTGTTTAAACTTTGGTCGTTCAGGGGTGTGTTTTTTTCACACCTCAGAGCAAAAAGGTTTTAACGAGGAACGTGCCAGTGTGGACAGAGCCTTAGTGTGAGCAACCTTTTAGGCTTGGAAGAAATGTTTGTGGTGTGTTGGTTACACAAGGCAAGAGGGAGCTGTGGGAGCTGCAGGAGAGTTTGCTGTCTGCCCAGGGCTCTGATCAGAGTCAATTCTTAGGGCAGAGTTGTTTCCTGGCTCCCTAGCACTGGTATTGGGCTGAGATTCCTGGGAGAAGGGCTTGCCTGGCTTCTCCATTCCAGAACCGGGATATGTGGAAATAAACCGAGCTACATTCAGAATATACCCAGACTCCATGTCACTGATTGACCCTCCACCAGGGAGCTGGCCTGCAAGGCCCAAACATCTCCCCTGGCTCACAAAGGGCTGATACTGGTGTCAGAAAAGGGACACTGGTGTTACTAAAAGAGGCAACAATACAAACACCTACTGGGAGGGGGTGGCTTCCCTCTCTTCGGCTGTGTCACTCCCCATCAAGGCAGGTGCAACTACCTAAGTAGCGGAATAATCCCTTCCACAGATGTGAGCAGGCGGGTGACGTGATCAGTGCAGAAAAGAACAAACACCCTGACAAGGAACAGTGTGAACATTGGAAACAACTGTACACCGATGTTCCCTGCAGCTGTGAGACAGTCAGTAGGGGCCAGCGTTCCCGTCAGGGCCGGCTCCAGGGTTTTTGCCGCCCCAAGCGGCAATTCGGCGGGAGGTCCTTCGCTCCGAGCGGGAGTCAGGGAACATCCGCCAAATTGCCGCCAAATAACTGGACGTGCTGCCCCTCTCCAGAGTGGCCGCCCCAAGCACCTGCTTGGCAAGTTGGTGCCTGGGGAGCCGGCCCTGGTTCCCATGAGCTCAGCATATGGGGCCTGATCTCTTGTGAAACGCTGGAAGGACTGATCATAGTAATAGCAACACTGACCACCGGAGGGAGCTCTTCACCTATCCAGTCCTGGAGCTGGGAGTCTGGATTAGAGCAGCAGTGCACAGGGGTCAGGCTACAAACTGCTGGGATAGAGACATCTCTGGGCTTGAGGCTTTTCATACCCCAACAACTTTCCCCTTTCTAATGTCACCTGGAGGACACTGTGCTTTAGCTTCTCACTTCCCAGCCACCCCACTCCCCTCTCTGCTCCCAGCGCCCCGGAGCAGGGGGCTCAGACTGGCAGTCTCGTTTGGAACGGCTGGAGGGTCATGACAAGATCACCAAAACCCAGTGGCTGCTCTAACCCGGGAGGGAGAAGCTAAGGGGAGAGAAGCAGAAGTTCTCTCCCTCGTCTGCTGCCACATTCCCGTCCCGCAGCCCAGACCACGTCCTTCTGCAGGGAAAGCCACTAAAAGCCGTCAGGAGCAGCGGCCTCACTCACTATGGGCCCCATTGCGCACAGCATCCTTAGCTGGTTCCTCACCATCTTTCAGTGAGCTTCCCTTGAGCAGCGCAGAAGGGTTGCAGCCCCTCCCCCATCCCTTTCCAGCAGTACATCCCTCAGCAGCATCTTCCAATAGCACCATAACTACCCAGCTGCACGTTCACCACCCAGCGGCAGCCATATTGTCCACTCCCAAATCCCATGCCTACACCACCCCCCAGGCAACAGCTGCTAGTCCCAGAAGCCATCAGTCTACACCAGCCACACCTCTAGGGTGACCAGATGTCCCGATTTTATAGGGACAGTCCCGATTTTGGGGGCTTTTTCTTATATAGGCTCCTATTACCTCCCACCCCTGTCCCGATTTTTTACACTTGCTATCTGGTCACCCTACACACCTCTCAGAGACACCTGCATAACCTGCACCGCAGCAAGTTTCAAAAGCCATCGCACCAAACACAGCCCCAAACAAGCCATAGTTTCTTGCAGCTGGAAAAACACTGTGGATCAGGGCCATGACAAGAAACTCAGCTAGCTTTGCAAGGCCAGGCAGACAACATTAGAGACGCCTTGCTCCAGGGGGAGTGCTCTGAATGGTAACGGTCTGAGCCGACACAGCACTTCAGAACCCCTCACCCACTAGATAAGCTTCATTTTTCCTTGCAAATGGAAAAAACAAAACAATTCTTGGGTCTGTCAGTAGCTGTCTCTGAGGGAGGGAGGTGCCAGACGCAACCAATGAGCAGGGAGCAGATTTGAATGAAGGGGCCGTTCTCCAGTGATGGGGATTTAAGAGAGAATCGGAGGGTCCCAGCCACAAACCCGTTTGTCTCAGGAAGCCGAGCTCATCTGGACTCCCCACCATGGCCTGGGCCCCTCTGCTCCTCGCGCTGCTCACGTACTGCTCAGGTGCTGCAAGGGGAGTAGGGCTTATCTCACCCTTTCAATCAAAGGGGTCTTTGATTTTAGAGCCATTTCTCCCATTGTCCCCAGGCTGCTGGCCGAGAGCTTTAATCATCATCATTTTATTCCCATGTTTTCTCCTCCTGTTGCAGGTTCTCTCGCCCAGTACGTGCTGACCCAGCCACCTGCAGTGTCTGTGTCTCCAGGACAAAGTGCTCAGCTCACTTGCACAGGGGAAAAAGTTGATGAACAGAGTGTGCACTGGTACCAGCAGAAACCTGGCCGTGCCCCCGTACTCATTATATATGCAGATAGTGAGAGACCCTCCGGAATCCCTGAGCGATTCTCTGGGGCCAGCTCCGGTAAAACAGCCACATTAACCATCACTGGAGTCCAGGCGCAGGACGAGGCTGATTATTACTGTCAGGTGTGGGATAGTGACAGTAGCTCTCCTCACAGTGACACAGCCAGATGGGGAAGTGAGACAAAAACTGCCTGTTGACATGGGGGACCATTTATTCATGGACAGTTGAGATTGAAGGTGCGGATTATCTTATTCTGGCTGATTAATATTCAAATACTTAGTAGTCTGCTTACTTCAGGACACCACAAGTGTGTCTGTCATCAGACATCGCAAGTCTATATTTGCAAGGCATGGCATAGCTGAAGAACTCATTAGTGACAATGGACCACAGATTTGTGCCAGAGACTTAAAAACTTTTGCAAAGCAATGGGACTTGATTCACAAAGCTTGAAGTCCACTGTTCCCACAATCAAATGGAATGACGGACAGCAGTTCCAACTGTAAAAATGATTCTTAAAAACTCTAGCCTGGTTAACACAGATCCCTACCTTAGCCTGCTGGACTATTGGAATACACCGATAGGAGGTATGAGATCACCTGCTCAACTCCTCATGGGAAGACGTCTAAGGACCCAGTTACTGACTACATCAACGTTGGTACAACCTAAGCTGATACAAGGAGACATACAAACTAGCCTAAAATTGAGACAAGCAAAGCAGAAATATTTCTTTGACAAAGTGCAAAGCCTGTATCAGTCTCTACTGACCTCCCACCTAGTAAGACAACTCCCATCTTTTCATGTACTATGTATAAATATACTTGCTACTGTATTTTCCACTCCATGCATCTGATGAAGTGGGTTGTAGCCCACGAAAGCTTGTGCCCGAATAAATTTGTTAGTCTCTAAGGTGCCACAAGGACTCCTCGTTGTTTTTGCTGATACAGGCTCACACAGGCTGCAGTGTTTGGTCTCTGCCTATAACACATCACACAACAGTTGTTCTTCGCAGCACAGAGAACAACACCCTGAAAAGGAACAACATGAATGCTGGAAACAACTGTACATGATGTTCCCTGCAGTTGTGAGAGACAGTGAGTAGGGGCCTCTTTGTGATGAGCTCAGCATGGAGGGTCTCTAGCTTTTGTGAAACCCTGGTCAGTATAATCGTAGTAACAGCAGCACTGACCATCAGGGGGTGCTCTTCACCCTCGCAGTACTGGAGCTCAGAGTGTGTATTAGGGCAGTGTAATGCGAGTCAGGCTACACACTGCTGGGCTAGAGAGATCTCTGGGCTTTGGGGCTCTTTATTCCTCAACAGCACTCACAGGATCTGGACAAGGGACCTAGAGAACACTGTTTGGATTCCAACTTCCCAGCTGCCCCCTCTCTGCTCCCTGGTCTCTGGGGCAGAGGTTCTCTGACTGGCAGTCTTGCTTGGGGTGCTGGGAGGGTCACCAAAACCCAATGGCTGCTATAACCCAGAGGGGGCCAGGGGAGGCAAGCGTTCCCCTCGCCCTGCCCACACTGGCCTGCTGCAGGGAAGTACCACTAAGAGGGGAGCAGTCAGGAGCCAGCTGCCTTGATCCCCATGGCCCCCATTGTTCACAGTGGTCATTAGCTGGTTCCTCATTGTCTTTCAGTGGGGCTCCCCTCCAGGAATGTGCAGAGCAGAAGGGTCTCAGCTGCACTCTTCCCAGCAGAGCCTCACCTAGCAGCATGCTCCAATAGCCCCCCACAG